GTTCCAAGCCACAATTATTTTCACTTACCAAAATATCTCCTGTTACCTCAAGGTATCCTTGTTGAGGAATGCTGAAAACTAAATTTTAAGTATAAAGTCTAGACCATAGAGTGCTTTGGTGGGAGTATTTTGATTATATACCTCCTGCCTATCAGAAGCAGGCAGCTAATATTGTGAACTGAGTATTTTTGTCAAAAGTCGCAGGGAAGAGACTACAGAAGAATGAGAAAGGTCAAATGGACCTAGTGTGGCTGACCACATGGATCTTGTCTCTTGGAGGTCTGTTGTAGAAGAGAAAACACATAGAGGTGAAGACACAGAACATGCTCAGTCAGCATCCTTACCCAGAGATGGCAACATCTATTAAGACCAATGCAATACCTTTTCATCTTCAACAAATGTTGTTTCGTCTGTTTTTGATCCTTGGCATTGTCAAAAACTTAGCTGCAGGTCCAGTGTATATTTTTCCTTATTTTTCCCTTTTAGCTATCTGCTAAAATGAGTAAATGCCACAACTGTACTTTTCCAAAGAAACAGAACTATTGACAATTTATAGCCTGTCATGCAGGTCATGTTTCAAATCAAGGCTGAAATTTTCAACAGCTATGGGAAAAACTAATGTAAAACAGAAACATTGTACAATATTAGTGTTTTTTAAAAGAAACTGTTAGTGCATTATCGAGTATACTAAATATCTGTGAAAGATTAAATGTATTAGTTCTAATCTTACTTTTGATTTCGGGAGCCCAAAATAAAGCAAGTGTTATTTTCATGGTTATGCCTTGTTTGTGGAGTCAAGTGTTGATATACTTGAGGCATATTATGTCTTCTAATTAATATTTTTATCACCTTGAATTTGTGTCTCTTCCAAACATTAAACTTTAACATACTATGGATCTTAAATTCCTTATTAAAAAAATGAAAGTGTGAATACTTTGTTTAGCTTACATTTTAATTTATTGTGGTTGACCACATTTTATGGCTCCTGAGTGCCTTCACCCAGCTACATGTTACCTTGTATCTGTAAAAGTGTAAATTAGAGTAAATACATTGGCTGTAAAGTCACGATCAGTTGCTCTCCACCAAAAGCAAAACAAAACTGCTGAAATGTGGCAAGGTTTCTCAGTGCAAGCTTAAATGTTTAAACTGTTGACCATTTGGAAAATACTGGACAAAGGGGAAAGACAAAACATCATTTGCAATAAAGGTTATGCAAGGCAAGGCGTTATACTTTTTGACTAAGTTATTCTTAAAAGTTAAATGCAGTTCTTCTTTGAAGTGTGGATTATAAAAGTCAATCAAAGACAAAACCAGTTTGAAAAACGTTTTGTATCCTACAATACCTTTTATGAGTAAGAGTACAATGTACATTTTTTATTTGTAATTTTATTTAAGGAGAAATAGTCTTTCCCTTTGATATGACTACATTTTATAAACATCAAGGAATACATTCTGCTGTCTGCAAATTTAGCAAGTCATTCCATTCTGGGTGACAGAATGAGGTAAGGCTGTCTCTTTAAAATCAAAAACTCACACCTGTAATCCTAGCACTTTGGGCACCCAGGCAGGTGGATTGCTTGAGCCCAGGAGTTTGACACTAGCCTGGCAACAAAGTGAGATTCCCCCTCCTCTCTACAAAAAGTAAAAAAATTAGCTGGTCATGGTGGCACATGCCTGTGGTCCCAGCTACATGAAAGTCTGAAGCAGGTGGATCTCTTGAGCCCGGGAGCTCAAGGTGGCAGTGAGCCATGTTTGTGCCACTCTCCAGCTTGTGCAACAGAGACCGTCTCAAAAAAGTCATCTGTGTGTTTCTTGCAGGCACATTTATGACAGTGTACCATGAATTTAAAATTTCTAACTTGATGGCACATTTTTACTTTTTTTTGAGACATAGTCTCACTCTGTCACCCAGGCTGGAGTGCAGTGGTGTGATCTCAGCTCACTGCAACCTCTGCCTCCCGGGTTCAAGATGAGGCAGCCCTCCTGAGTAGCTGGAATGACAGGCGTGTACCACCAGGCTAGGCTAGCTAGCGGCCTAGCTAGTCTTGAACGCCTGACCTCAAGTGATCCACCCACCTCAGCCTCCCAAATTGCTGGGATTACAGGCGTAAGCCACCACGCCAGGCCCTGATGGCACATTTTAAAAGGGGGGAATGACATAGGGGCAATTATTATTTATATAATAAATAGCTTTAGCCACTTCTTATGTTACAAAGCTCTGTACTTAAATTTTTTTACTATAAAAGGATCAATTTATTGTGGTTCAGATACATAAACTGACATTCAAATATCTTAAACTTTAGGAACAAAAGTTTAACATTTAAACAAAGTACAGTTTTCAGGAAACATCCAGAGAGTAATTTGTCTAATCCAGAGTACTGACAAACATTGCTTCATCATAAAGTGTGTTTCACCAGCATTTTTTTTTTTCATTCCTCCATAAAAATCACTGGCAGTTTGATTCAGACCAACTTCATAATGATTGTGGCTCCGTACCTTAGAAAAAACTGCTAAATAAATACCTTAGGTTAACCAACAAGATTGGCCTATAATTCAGAGGGTATAAGCAAAGCATATAAGTGAGGAAATTAAGTTGTTCTTTAGAGATGATGTAAAAGCGTGTCCATTGCAGTACTTTTCGCCTCTGACAGATTATTCAATTTTCAGTGTTTTACTTTTTTCTGGGGGTGGGGAGGGTAGGGAGGGTCTTGCTCTGTTCCCAGGCTGAAGTGCAGTGACTTATTCATGGCTCACTGCAGCCTCAACCTCCCATGCTAGACGCGATCCTCCCACCTCCGCCTCCTGAGTAGCTGGGATGACAGGCACCTGCCACCTTGCCAGCTCATTTTTTAATGTTTTGTAGAGGCAGGGTCCCACTATGTTGCCCAGGCTGTTCTCAAATACCTGGGCTCAAGAGATCCTCCTGCCTCAGCCTCCCAAAGTGTGGATTACTCGCGGAAGCCACCGTGCCCGGCCTTACCTGCTTTAGAAAACAAACAAACAAAAAAACTTAGGTTTTCTTCGAGTCTGTGCTAGTTGCATCTTGCAAATGCAAACCACATAGGCTCTTCAATGAAAACCTTTCCATGCACACCACTGTTAGGAAAAGCATCATTAAATCTGACTTCTATACCCATAAAAGGATGATTCTGAGTTTCAAGATTTTAGATTTACTAGATATAGCCTGTATTTATCAATCATGTCACACAAAAATATTTCCAAAGTGTTCTCTGTTCAGAAATGTCACAAATGCTTCTCCTGTCAGATCATTTTGCAACAGGTTAATACTTATCTACATAAAAACCTGAAAATTGGCACAGGTAAGCACTTTGAATTAGTTGATTACCCCCATGCAACAGTATGCAGAATTATTTTGTCTCGTGGGCTCTGAGGCTCTGGGGCTCTGGGAGGTAGAGGTGGACCCTGACAGTCCATGTCACCAACATCCACGTTCAGTTGATGCCTCTCCTCAGGCACAGTCCAGTACTGGATACCATTTATCATTCTGCAAAATGCTGTCTACATCTTTCAGGTGCTGGTCATTCTTAGATTAGCTTCTTAGCTGTACTGTTCATGAATAGAAGACTTCAATTTTCAGGATGGATGATTCCAGCATCTTCCACAAGCTTTCACTTTCACATCTTTCACTAAATTGTTATAAATTTGGTCTCCTTCAAAAGTGCCCTGAAGTCAACTTTGGTTGTAATGTATTTGTCTCTGACGTATTCTTCAAATTCTTTTTTTCCTGTCATTGGAGGAGAACTGCACCCAGAATCTTATTTTTTCTACTTCCACGTGAATGTGAAGGTACTCACAGAGGTTTCATCCAGAAGTCTCCCCTCTTCTTTCTGGTAAGTGCTTCAATGTGCTCATTAAGCTTCTCTTTCTCTTCTCTTTCCAGCAAAGATCTAGATGCCCAGTGGTGATCTTTTTGATGAGTCCTCTACCAAACTATGACACATGTGAAGAACGTATCTGAACAACCCTCAGGGATAATGCAGGATTTTTCGGGAAAGTTCCAGGGTATCTCCTGGTGTCAGTATACTTTCAGTCCTACGCCTCAGAGTATTTTTTTTTTTTAATAACAGCTTTATTGAGATACAACTCATACCTTACATTTAAAATGTACAATTCAGTGGATTTGAGTGTATTCAGAGTTGTGCAGCCTACACCACAAGCTAACTGTAGTATATTTTCATCACCCTGAAAAGGAACCCTACACCCATTAGCAGTTACTCCATTTCATCTACAGCAAGCCTAGGCAACCACTAATCTTCCTGCCTATTCTGGACATTTCATATGAATGGAATCATCATGTGATCTTTTGTGACTGGCTTCTTTCACTTAACGTTTTCAAGGTTTATCCATGTTTAGCATAGTTTAACATATATAAGTCATTTGTTTCTTTTTAGTGCCAAATAATAGCTATGGGCATAGGAGTAGAATGGCTAAATCATACAGCAGCTGTTTCATGTTTTGAGGAACTGACAGTCTGTTTTCTGAAGTGGCTACACCATTTTACATTCATTCCCACCAGCAATGTATGAGGGTTCTCTAATTTCTGTACATCTTCACCAACACTTACTATTATTTCTCTTTTTAATTACAGCCATTCTAGTGAATGTGAATTTCAGGTTTTTTTTTTTTTTTTTTTTGGAGAGTCTCACTCTGTCACCCAGGCTGAAGTGCAGTGGCACGATCTCAGCTCACTGCAACCTGCACTTCCTGGGTTCAAGTGATTCTCCTGCCTCAGCCTCCCAAGTAGCTGGGACTACAGGCATGCACCACCACGCCAAGCTAATTGTTGTATTTTTAGTAGAGATGAGGTTTCACCATGTTGGCCAGGCTGGTCTTGAACTCCTGACCTCAAGTGATCCACCTACCTCAGCCTCCTAAAGTACTGGGATTATAAGCGTGAGCCACTGTACTCAGCCTCCTAGTAGTTTTGATTTATACTTCCCTAATGATTGTGTCCAGCATCTACTGGCCATTTGTTAGTGGTTTTTTCTTCTTTTAAAAACTGCTGAGACATCCATAAACATTTTCAAAATGCAGGGTATGTTTTTCAGTGTTAAGGCAACTGTTTTGATGTGTTTTCCTTTGCTGTCTATCACCAAATACTGTACATACAAATAGAAAGACTGGGCTTTGTGTTGTCCATTGTTAATCCTAAATGCAACGAAACACATGGAGACTTTGAAAATCCTTCAGAATAATGCTATAGTTAAGATTTTGCTAAAGCAAGTGATTTTTCTAACTCCTTGAGCTGCATATTGCCTTGAGTAATCATCATCCGGATTGTATCCTGTAGAATAAAGTGAAATCTGGTTATTGTTTTACCTGGTTAAACAAGGTATAGCTATACCGTTTTTTTGTTAAAATCAACAACCAATAGTACGTATTTGAACTGCTGTCTTTTAGAAAAGACGAAAGATTTCCACATACATACACATAAAACGTACAACATAAAAGTCGTGATAATGCTGAAGAGTGTCGATACAGCAATATTAAATTTTAAAACATCATTTAAAATCGGTAACATTACAAGCAATGATCAAGATATACCAACTCAGTGGCACTATATTCCAAGATGTCTGCTAAACTTAAAAAAAAAAAAATTCACTGATCAATAAAAAGGGTTAGGATCTGTCCTCGCCATGATTTTGTTCTCACCTCTTCGGTGGCACTTTTGTTTCTTTTGAATTCTTCCCTTGCCCAATCCTTCAGGTATTTGCGATCAGAATCATTTGGAACTTGCCGAATTGTTTGCAAAATCCTTCTGTAGAGGAGAAGAACTTGTTGCCTTCTTATGAACTGTAAAAGGGAGGAGCAATAGCAATTACTTCTGCACAATCGCCAGCCTGAAAAGTTCTACTTCAGCAAACCGAGCTGCAACCAGAGTCCTCGTTGGTCAATTTTGAAAAAGGCAAAGAAAAACTTTTTTCTTTTTCCGCCAGGTGCAGTGGCTCAGGCCTGTAATCCCAGCAGTTTCGAGGCCAAGATGGGAGGACCACTTGAGCCCAGGAGGTCTAAGCTGAGGTAAGCCCTCATTGTGCCACTGCACTCAGCCTGCACGAGAGTGAGGCCCTGTCTCAAAAAGATGTTTTAAAGAAAGCATCACGAGGTTCATCTGATCTTTCTGCTTACTGCTCTGTCAAATCTAAGAACCATTAAAAAATCAGCTGACTACCGGGATGAAAAGGGCTGCCAGTCTCCTAGAAGTTGTTATTACAACGACAGCACTTTTTCTAAATTAACAGTTGTTCAAATCTTTGGTAATCTCATTTGCCGTTTGCTACAGCTCAGTGCAATAGAGAGTAGTCTTTACCGTGGGCACTGAGCAGCTGATGCACCGGGACTCCGGGAAATCAAGCACCTGACGCGTCTCACGCGACCGCACCAAACCAAGCAAGCCGCCCGTGCCTCCCGTCAGGCCCCGCGAAGCGAAGCACCGCCCCGCAGGCATCGGGCCAATCTCAGAGGGCGCGCACGGCGCGTCAGGACCCCGGAACCCGCCCCGTTGGGTGGAGGGAGAGATGGAGAATCCAGAAGCTCAGACCCAGGTAAGCTGCTCTGGAAGGCAGAGAACCGCCGGTACCTGCTTTAACGTTAGCGTCGCTGGGGGTAAGCGGGAGGCAGCCATGTCAGCCAGAGATCCGCCGGAGCCTCAGCGCGCAGAAGCGGAAGTGGAGTCCAACCAAGGGGTGTGGCGAGCCCGGTTTCCTAGGAGACGGCCCGGGGTTGCGCTCTGATTGAGCGCGAGACTTCGGGACTGAGCCCTAGGGTTAGGAGCCGGTTATGGGCTGCGCTGGCCGGTTTTCTCGTCGGTAAAATAGGATAGCAGTGCACCATAGGGTCGTTGCGATAACGAAAGAAAGGTAGGACACTTAGCACAGTTCTTGGTAAAGAGTGTTCAAATGAAAGTGAAGGAGGCCGCGCAGTGGCTCTTGCCTGCAGTCCCAAGACCTTTGAGAGGCCTGTAAGGTGCCTGTAATCCCAGCTCCCCGGGATGCTGAGGCGGGAGAATCGCTTGAACCCGGGAAGTGGAGGTTGCAGTGAGCCGAGATCGCACCACTGCACTCCAGCCTGGGCGAGAGCGAGACCCTGTCTCGGGAAAAAAAAAAAAAAAAAAAAAAAAAAAAAAAAGTTAAGGTTTTTTTGGGGGAAAGAGGTGAAAACGTATTTGAATGTTCTTTCGAGCCTTTAAAAATGTGTATAGTTGAAAATACTAAAATTGAAAGTGTTGATTTCTTTTACAATTTTTGTTGGTTTTTTCTCTCTCGTTTTCGTCCTGTTCTTTTGTAGCGCAAGCGTTTTCCGGGAGCGGTGGTCTTCATGATCCTTTGAAACAAAGCTTCTGAATGGCTGCTCCACTGCAGTCTTAAGCACTTTCATCACTAATAACGAGGAGCCTAACATCCCTAAGCCTCAGGCTTTTGCTTTTATTTCCTCATAGCTGTTTTATCTTTCCCACAATACACACCACACACCTTCAGGTTAAATCACCAGAAGTGGAGTTAGCGAATCTTTGCTATATTAATTTTCCAAGTAGTGTTGTATCGAATTAAAATAAAACCAAAAATTTCATTCAATTTTTAGTTTACTGGGGACTTGCCTGCCTCGCCTGTTGGCATCCTGGGGCTCCCTATTCCTAGCTATGTTCTGGCTATTTCCCCTCTCCTGGCCTGTTACCTCCCCTGTAAAATGAAATACAGCATCTACCTCAGTTGTGTATCTCTAATGTACTGAGAACAGGTCCTGGCACATGTAAGAACTCTAATCATTGGTTCTTTTGAACTTTACCAGGCATTGTATGAATGATGCTAACTGCATGACCATCTTATCAATAATATATATATCAAATTTTGTCTAATACATTAGCTGTAATAGTTAACTAACTTTTTAAAAGGAGTGAAGTTAAATACCCCTTGCCTTTTAAAATTATACTGATTTTGTGAATTGTTCATGACTTGGGTCCGTTTATGAGGAGAACTTTTCTTTTATATGGGCTCTATATTTTGTTTTTGTCATTTATACATACATACATAAACTTTATGCAATCATGTATTTTTGTGCCTTTTGAGGCTTTTCATTTCCCATTCAGACCTTTGTAATTCATTTTTTTAAATCTTTCATTTTTTAAAAATATTGACTCCATCTAGAATTTACTTTGGTTTATAGCATCATGTGGATCTACGTTCTTTTCTAGATGTTAAGCTGTAGCAATACCATTTATTACATAACTTATTCCTTTTTCGGGGCTTTATGTAATGGATGCCTTTTTGACTCTGATAAATTTTTTAGTGTCTGAGTAATCTGTCCAGAATTGTTTCATCTTAGGGTTTTTAATTTTTGTTTTATATGTATGTTATTATTTGGCAGGACTTTAGTTTCTTGTAAAAAATTCATTAGTACTGTTCTCCATAACCTTTTGTATCATTTCCCTCCAAATCATCTTGTGATCTTGATTGGAATTTTGAAATAGTGTTGAATCTATTCATTAATATGTGAGAAGACACTTTTACATTATTTCTTCTTCCCATCAAGAAACACTCAGACCGGGCGTGGTGACTCACGCCTATAATCCCAACACTTTGGGATACCAAGGTGGGTGGATCACCTGAGGTCAAGAGTTCGAGACCAGCCTGACCAACATGGTGAAACCTTGTCTCTACTAAAATACAAAAAATTAGCCGGGACTGGTGGCTCACGCCTGTGGTCCCAGCTACTTGGGAGGCTGAGGCAGGAGAATCGCTTGAACCCGGGAGATGGGGGTTGCAATGAGCTGAGATTACACCATTGCACTCCAGCCTGGGCAACAAGAGCAAAGCTCTGTTTCAAAAAAAAAAAAAAAAAACTCACTCATGCTAGACACTGGTAATGTTATAAGTCATATACGCTCCTTGCTCAAAGACTCGTGCTTTGGACAGAAAAGCCTCTAAGTTCAATATAGTGCTAACAAATAATGTTGCGGTTCATACTGTGGGAAATTATTCTTCCTGGAGGGCTTGTCTGAGATAGGTATTTGGCAGAAACGCAGAATCACTAAGAGGATTCCAGACAATACATGGAAACACTGGCAGGGATGCTGGGAGAGAAGGGACAGGAGAATCAAGCAAGAGCCTCATAGGTCACATGAAGCAGCTTGAATATTACCCTCTTCACAAGGGAGAGCTTTGAAGGGATTTTCAGCTAGATAACTTTTAGAAAGATCTTGGATGTTGTGAATAGCAATGAAGTGAAGCAAGCAAAGAGAAGTTACTGGTCAGGATACCATTGAAGTAGTCCCTGCTAGAGATGAAAAGAGCCCCAGTCACAGTGGAGTGGTGGGAGGGGGAGGGATGGGATAGGATAGGATGTCCAGAAGCCTGACTGGACAAGATGATTAATTTGATTGGGGTATAGATAGAGATGGAGAAGGAAGCAAAGCAGATGTATAGGTTAAGTCCCAAGTTTGTAAACAGGGCAGCTGTTGGAGTGGTCATCCCAGATGGGGAATGTTGAAGGAATGGGTTTGGGATAGGTGAATTAGAGAACAGAGTCACATTTTGAATGTAATGCATTTGAAGAGTCTGTTGCCTAAGTACAGCCCCAGCAGATGTCTGAATATAATTGAGAATACCAAAGAGTACACTTCCTGGACCCTTGAATGGAGAATTTTACAGTCCTTTTGCTTCAGTCTGGAGGCCACGGGAGTGGTCAAGTTGTCCAAAGTGAGATTTTATTGTTGTTGTTGTCTTGCTCTGTTGCCCAGGCTGGAGTGCAGTGGCACAATCTCAGTTCACTGCAACCTCCGCCTCCTGGTTCAAGCAGTTCTCCTGCCTCAGCCTCCCTAGTAGCTTGGGATTATAGGTGCGCGTCACCATGCCCAGCTAATTTTTTGTATTTCTAGTAGAGATGGGGTTTCCACCATATTGGCCAGGCTGGTCTCAAACTCCTAACCTCAAATGATCCACCCACCTCGGCCTCCCAAAGTAGTAGGATTATAGGCGTGAGCCACCGCACCCAGCCCCAAAGTGAGATTTTTAAGACAGCATGGAGGACTTTTGTGTTCTGCTGTCCATTGCTTAAATATCAGAAGTTACCTACTTGGCCGAGGCCAGGGGGATGGGCAGGATGGCACAAATGTCAACTATCAACATGGCAGATTAATGTATCACTACTCCTGCAAGCCCTGTTGGCAGCACAAGTTGAAAATGGCACTGTTGGGTTCCTGCTTCCTGGAATTCCTACTGTCCGTGATCTCATGAGCTAACCCAGGGCCAAGAGAATCACTCTGGCCACACCAGTTTGGGAGGTCTAAGATGGAGCTTCCAAAGGCAGATATAATAGATTGCAGCACTGTCATAATATTGGTGTCCTTCCCTCCCAGACTCAACCCTACTGGATGAGTAAACTGCCTGCCCTGTAGAGAGCTTTAGCCAATGAAATGTGAATGGATGCAACATCATTTATGGAGAATTTTTAGAAGCCTCCTTACAAGGCTCCACCAACTCACCCTTTTCATTCTGCTGCAAAGCCAGTATATTATAGCTCAGTCTACCATGGACATAAATGCAAATGATAAATCAACCCTTGTAGTAAAAGCAACATTGAAGTTGGAAGGTCATGTTAGCACAGCATAAACTAGTAACAGCTGACTGATCCAGCAGAGAAGATCAGTCCCCTAGCGTACCTTTTACAATCCTGTCATCTTCCATTAAGAATAGTCACAAATTACATAAACAGTGATATATGTTTTAATAGTTTTCAGAATATAAGCTGCATAGCTTTTTAGAATAAAAAATAATGATATAACTTCAGGTCCATGCTTTGGGACACTTGGTTAAACAACAGGGAATCTGTGTCTTTGATGACCACCTCAAAAGGGTGGCAGACTTCACAGTGTAACTTGGAAACAGACAAGGAGATAGATGATTACATCATGACATATTGCCTACAAAAGAACATTCTGACAGAACATTAAGTAGAACAGAGCACACAGTTTCAAGTATTCAAGCACTGCTTTCTGGCCAAGAAAAAACTGTCTAAAAATCAGTTTCTTTTGACTGGAGCTGCTGAGTTCTGGACACGGCATTTCTTTCCCAGAATGAGACTGGCTCAGTCCAGCTTGAAAGCAGTGTGAGGAATGACTCTTCCCCTTAATCATTAAGAAAAAAAAAATGAACTAAACAAATAAATTACAACAACAACAGGGACCATGGCACTGAATGAAATAAAGGGGCAGTCACCTTCCCATCATTGCATAGTCTCCCGAAGCAGCAAGTGTGAAAGAGGATACTGAAAAGCCACTTCGTTTTTACACAGCCCAAGGATCGTTTTTATGGATGACTTGGGCTCCTATAATGTCCGGTTGCTTTATGAGAACACACACACACCACATTCTTCCTACCCTCTAAGAGAAGGTAATTCCTTTCACAATAAGAAAACACAACCTCATACTCTCCAGAAACTGCAGCTGTCTCGGCCACTTGACAGCTTTTGGGTACACACTGTGGGCTTGGCAAGGCAGAGCTTAGAGCAGGGTCAAAAGGGCAGCTCCCTTTAGTCCTTTATACAAAGGACTGTCAGAGTCCCATGCTCCTGGCAGCATCTCCTCAAGGCACAGGTGCCCAGATCCCCTGCAAAAGAAAACAGGCAGCTGGGCTCCAACAGTGGGGTATGACCTCCATCCAGGTCAGGGCTTCTGAGGGAGGGAAGAAGGATAACTCTTTTCTAGTTACGAGTTCAGGCACCTGCTGCTGCTTCCAGGTTTGGTATAAAAACCTTAGCCCAGACAAAGCCAGGGGTCAGAGTGTGTTCTCTAGGCTGTAAGATCACGTTATATAAAATAAAAATATTACAATAAAATTTTTTTGTAGTTGTCCAAAAGGGAGCACCTGGGTAAGCAATGTGACCTTCTGAGCATGGTTAAGTCTCACTTTGGACTCCTCTTTCTGTTCTATGGGTGGTCAGAGGCTGTCACCAACTCAAACCACTGTCTGAGGGCATCGCTGAGTGTCTCAGGAAGTGCGTTTACATCTCGAAGAATGATATAGTATGGGAATGGGAACTCTTCCATGTAGGATCGGATTTCAGGCATCTCTCCAGGTCCTTTAAATATCGGTACTTTAATGTCCAAGATAGAATCCTGTCAACAAAAGACATCATGAAATGGGGAGGCAGCGATTAAACCAGCATCCTTAGCTAGCTCTTCTGTGATCTCTTTTGCTAACAACTTTTACATCTGCTGTGTCTTATTCCTGCATATGAACCTAGCTTTTATTACTAAGTAAAACAATTTTCAGAACTCTACCAAGAAGGAGGTAGATGTCTTTCTGAGTACCCCTTCCAGGAGGATGGACACTGAAAAAAAGGAAAAGGGACAGATAGGAAAATCTACTTTCCCTACAGTGGTGTCTCCCCACCATCCACTTGGAATCATTCACACTAAATCTTTACCTTCCTATCAAGGCCTTAATGTGACTCGCAGAGACAGTGCTTCCCTGGAACAGAACTGCCCTGTAGGCATATTTCACTAAGACGACTGATGCTTCTTGCTGTGAGGAGGGCTGCTGAGACATAAGTCAGTGTGCAAACACCTGATCTCCCT